CAGAGCTGTAGGTAATGTGCTGTTTTAAAGGTCCCATGTCATGGCCATTTCTACTGATCATAATTCCATTGTTGAGGTCTACTGTACTAGAATAGATTTATATTGTGCAATTTTCCAAACTCACATTGGTTTCTCATATAGTATCTCTGTATAGTATGTGTATTCACTCTCTGTCCTAAACGGCTTGTTGGAGCTCCTGCCCCCCCTCCCTGTGAGCCCAGTGGTCGTATGCGAGACAGCGAGACACAGTGAAACCCAGCCCGAGCACACACACACACACACACCCACAGGTATTTTCTGTGTTAGAGTTTTACTCGCTACAGGGCGTACTTTGAGGGTTTGTGACTCTGCAGACCGTTTACATGCATACAAACCTTCATAACACATAAGGGGACCGGTAATAACCAGAAAAGCATGACATGGGACCTTTTATAAATTGGCTGTGTGTAATGTCTAAAATACAGACTCTCTGTAAAAGCCACTGTTCACATTAATCATCTTTTTCCAGATCACTGCACACCTTTTTAGGACAAATTTGTAATTCTCTGCATGTTCACCACCCCTAGTTATTTTTGGTGAATTTCATGTAGCTGTTAATTGCGCAGTGACAGCAGCGTAATGAGAATTGATGCAGAGTGAAGCAGTCATGAAATAGAGGAGCTCTACCAAACACTGAACAACAGAGACATTAAAGTGACTAAAGCGCCTGTACTGAAAGCACACTGAATATCAAGGACAAACATCCCAGAATCTGTAGCTGTGAAAATGTATACCACTGGTTTCAACACAATGGCATCTGTCACATAAACAACAGCTATAAACCTGTAAAATGATACTGATGTATTATTACTGTAGTACAATTTAATCTGGCTCACCCCTCCCTCAAAACTATCAAGGTAATGCATATCAATACACAGATTTCTGAAATGTGTATATATAATACACGCTGTAAAAGTGATCAATGATCAATTCTGGTACGAACGATGCCCAACAGAGTCAACATCCTCTCCTTTCCTTCACATCTGATGTTCTCTGCTAAGATGTTGTTGTTTCCTGAGTGTGCCGTTTGTTTTGCCTGGTTAAACCCTTGTTAGCACAGGATGATGGATAATGTGTCAACCCACACTGCAGATTCGGTGGTTTCAGGAAGAGAGAGTGTGTGCATGTTTGCGTGTGTGTGCATGTTTGCGTGTGCGTGCATGTGTGTCCGAAGAGGAAAGCGAGGCTGCTGGCTCCAGAAATATATCTATAGTGGCTTGTGGGACTTTATTTTGTACCCACACAGGCATATTTAATCTACTACTACACACACACCACACACACACACACACACACACACACCACACACACACACACACACACACACACACACACCACACACACACACACACACACACACACACACACACACACACACACACACACACACACACACCACACACACACACACACACACACACACACACACACACACACACACACACACACACACACACACCACACACACACACACACACACACCACACACACACACACACACACACACACACACACACACACACACACACACACACACACACACACACACACACACACACACACACACACACACACACACACACACACACACACACACACACACACACTGGCACAGGTTGTGACTTCCTTGTGTTAATGTAGTCCATATGAATAATTTATCTAGCTTTTCTGTTTTTGTACGTGGAAAGCAAAAAGAGTAATTCTTGTTTCCTGGGCTACTTGAAGAAAAAAAAATGTCATAACATCTGTGTAAGATCTTTACTGATGCCTGACTGAATCTTAACCCTTTTATGTTCCCAAAGGAGATTTTAAATGGTGCTTTAATACAAGTGACCTCCAACACTCCAGCGAACACCCGTTACGCAGGAAAGTTCCTGAGTGTTCACTAAATACTACATTACCCATGAGCCATTGAAGCGTGTGTTGATGTTTTTATTTGTTTATTGTGACATTCATAATGTTTTTATCCACTATGATGCGGTCAAGGTGCCACCTGACACTAAATTACCCTGTTTTTGTGATGATTATTAAAGAAAACGAAAAAAAATCAGTGGTTTTGATTGCCTAAAAAAACATCTGGATCTGAAAGTCAAACTTCCTGCAGAGTAAAAGGCAAATACATTGAAAAGTGTGTTAGTGATTATCTTAAACAGACTAATTTATTGTTAATCCTGGGTTATGTTTCTGTAATAATGTAATTTTTGGTTTGATATTTCGCAATGGTTGAAGTAATACTTTATTGTACAGCTTTGTAATTTAGTTTTTGTTTAACCCAGAGACAAAAAATTCATACAGGCATATATCAGCTAAAATAATTCAATTTGAATTCAATAGAGACGTGGAAAATGAATCACAAAAGCTCCTCAGGTTAAACCAAATATCTCCATATGCCTGGATCAGACTTTGATACTGTAAGTCCAAGGATTTTATATTATTTCTTGACAATAGCTCGCCTCTGGTTACGACTATCCTTTTGTGCTAAGCAGAGCTGTAAAACAGATTTGTATTTTCCTTTTTCTGTATTGCAATGAAATGAAAAATGCCTTGCAAAAAATCTCCAGCCTTGTGCTTTTTCAATTATTGTCATCACAACTTTAGCTATAGTTTTTATCAGAAAACACATTTTGACTTATTTGTGAACACTGACGTGAAGAACTTGTCACTGAATTGCATTGACATTTTCATTGACACAATATGTACTTTGGAGGGATTAACTAAAGCTTTTAAGTACATTACTGACTATTGCAGGTTATCCATTGTGTGGTTCTGTATGTACAATACATTTTTTAATAGAAATACACTTTCTCTTTAGTAAACATCAGTCAGTTTTGCATCAGTAGTGTGTAGTTTGATGGATGCAACAGGTAAAGCTAAACAGGGAGAGTCGAGTGAAGAGTAACCTATCAGTCAGATAACATTCACTAAGAAAATATCCCTGAATCTAAAGCTCTATCCTTCAGTGTAAACAAACCTTTTCAAAGAGGGCTAACCAGAAATGACCCAGCATTGAAGAGATATCACGTCCAGTGTACACACTCTCCCTCTTTGTCCCTTTGTTTTTGACAAACAGTGCAGGGAGCCAGAGGTTCAGTTGCCATGGATACCATTTTAGGTGTTTTGGGCTCTCCTGCTGGCTCTTTGCACTATGGTCTGATGGTCTGATGGGCTTCAGGGTCTGTTTGTCTGTGTGCATCATGTGTGTCTGTGTACTCGGCATATTGATGCTGTCTGCGAGCAGGAATACTAAAGCCACCTCTTCTGTCTCTAATCTGCTTTTCACCACTTCCTTTTCCCTTCTCTACAGTGTTGTATTTCTAATTCTCTCCTAACCCTACCTTGTTATTCTCTTCCTCCATTCACATCACACCCCCCACTTTTTCCTCCAGTCCTCCCCACTGATAGTCAGTCGAAGCAGGTCGGACTTGGACAGCCCATTTTGTCTCTGCAGCCCACTTGTAAGGCAGTGCTGTGTGCACACATCATGAAAGACTGATGGGACTATAAAACATAGACGATGAGGAGGAATCAGAGGGGAAAACAGAGGGGAAGAAGGAGCAATAGTAAAGGGAAAACCTTGGTGTAAAGGTCTAGAAATGATTTGTCTTTGATTATCTTGTGGATAAAATGACAGTGAAAAACAGTTACAGTAATACTCCTGCGTCACTTTACAGTGAGGAGAGACTGGCTGTCATCCTCAGACATGCTGTGATGACGTGTGCAATGAATTTACAACTCCTGTATTCAGTTAAAGGGATATTTCATATTTTAGAAAGTTGTGTTATTATTAATATTACCCAAAGTGAAATCAATTCATAGATATGTTTGTATGCAGCTGTATGCAGTTTATAAGGTATATTACTTGTTCTAAGCATATTTTTACTAGACACTTGATTGAAACAGTTTTTAAAGGAATCTGATTATCATATTACATGTAATATAAACATAAAATGTATGATTAAGAACCATAAAAAACTTTTTCATCAAAGAACTGTGACTAAAATATGTCCTGAGCCAGACATTTTACTTTAAAAAATCAGCTTGTCAGTGCTATCTGGTGGACAGTCGTGGAAACAGTTTCCAAAAAACACTATTAAATCAACTTTGGCATTTCTGTAGTGCAATTTCTTGTTTACTATTAGTGAACATATACCCCACTATTTCAACCTTGTTTCTTATAAATCACATTTCTGTATTTTATTTCTAAAAGCTAATATTGGTTGTTTTATCATCCTAGAATGAATCACTTTTAATAAACCACAAACTGTGTATGTCTTCCCATTGCAAATATATAAACAAAAGATCACATTGTTCATTAAAGTCTTGCTTGCTCTGCCCAGTAACAGAGGTGCACTTCACTTGACAGTGTTGTTAAGGTTGGCGTGTTATTTGATCAGCATGTTCATCTGGTGTACAACAGCAAATTCCACTTAATGAAATATTCACCAGTCAACATCAGCACTTTCTCCAGGATTCACTGAAGTACGCACCAGCACTCACATGCAGGGATATACACATGTGAACATACATGTGAGCTACTTCCCATTATATAAACATCCGTGACACAACAGACACAATCCTGATACTTAGAAACAAGGCACAACAAGCAAGAAGAGCATCAACACAAAAGATCCTTGAATCTATTCAAGTCTCCCTACGCACATTTCACACAGTTGAAAAGCCACTTGATTGTGAAGCACTTGAAGCCAAAGAAACGTCAGAACACCGGACACCTCCGGAGAGGAACATTATCATTTTCTCCTCGACACCCTACAGAGAATTAAATTATTCTCAGCTCAATACAAGTAGGTAAGAAGACAAGATGGAAATGGATAGATACGTATAAATAGATAGATGGATGGATAGTCAAAGTATATGACAGTCAAACATTTATCAAAGCAATGTTTGGCTGAGAGCCCAGTGACACCACGCATACAAACTAAACAAATGTAAGGAGAGCTCACCTTCATGGCGCATCCTTCTGTCGCTAGTCCACTCTGAAACACATGTGCTTTACTGGACTTGTCTGATGATAAAACAGAAAGAATGTGTGTGTGTGTGTGTGTGTGTGTGTGTGTGTGTGTGTGTGTGTGTGTGTGTGTGTGTGTGTGTGTGTGTGTGTGAGAGCTGTAAAATATGCCGCTTCCCCTGGAGTCACAAGGGAGGGGAGTGTGTCCCTCCGCAGCAAAAATGAATGTGTTGTAAATGCACGTGTGTGTGTGTGTGTGTGTGTGTGTGTGTGTGTGTGTGTGTGTGTGTGTGTGTGTGTGTGTGTGTGTGAGAGAGTGTGTGAGAGTGAAAGTGCAGCCCCTCCTGTTAAATGAATGAAAACTCTAACACAGAAGGACACACCTAAATCCTAACATGATGCTATCTTCCTCCATCCCTCCATATATCCTCACACTTTTCTATCATCTGGCATTCCTCTCTTCTCACTTCCTTCCTATCTGTCTCACTTTCCTCCTCTCCTCTCGCCTCACGTATCGAGTGTTCCTCCCCCCTCCCTCCATCTCCCCACCCTCTCCCTCTAATAGAAAGCTCACATTTCTCTGTTCTCCCATATAGACACCGAAAAGAGGGAGGCAAGGGGGAATAGTTAGATGGATGGTCCAGCTCACCTCTTTTTTTTACATTTTATCTCTCCATCCATTTGCCTGTCCTCTTACTATGCATGATGGTGAGCAGCTCAGCCCTTTTGCTCACTTAATTAATCCCCATGTGATTGAAATGTGAAAGAGAAATACATACACACATGGAAATGTCTTATTGCTGAAGAGGCACATTCATACTGTTATAAAAACACATATATTACATCTAAATCCTTACTCACTATTGTCTTTTGTTTTCTGTTTAGCACAATGGAGCAAGTTTGCAATAACTCACATACACATATAATACAGCAATAGTTCCTATTCCTATTTGCGGATAACACTGAAAGGTGTACAGAAAAGGTTGCTGATGAGTACATCTCAGAGTGGGTAAGCTCAGATATCATAAAATAATAATTCTTGGAGGTTACTTCACACGTCTTCTGTATGCACTGGCAGCACATTGAAATGCAGCTCCTGTTCACATGCAGCAGGGATAGTACATTTTAGTCATACTGCCCTGCAGCTGTGTACTGACACAGAACAGCCAACAGAGGGTGCTGTTACACTCACACATAAAGAGCTCATTACAATAAAGTTGGTATAAAGAAAAGAAGAAAAGAAAAGCATGGCATCCTTTCTGATAAATCTATTTCATTTTTGCCAGTCATGAAAATACAAATCTTGGTTGGGAAAACACATTATTTTAGATCTGAAACTATTCATTCATTTGCATTAACTGTGAACTCACTTGTGTAAATGCAAATTAAGCAGGTCATCCTAAATAATAGAAGGTAGAGGGTTTGTTTCCCATTGTTGGAGCTCTTATACACACATTGTCTTTTTCTTTTATGGTGCACCTTCTTGCAGCATACTACCTTCCAGCAATAAGATGACTTTACTGCATTGGCAATAAAAGCCCATGAACACACATTATTACTGTAATTTACACTTAACCTGACAGCCAACTTCCACAAATCACTTGCAAGGCAAGGCCACAGGGATGATGAGGATTGTTATGCTTGCTGAACTGCTCATCTACATGATGGGATATTCTTCTTGTTTTATCCAACAGTAGGTGACATGGATAAATAATCAATATAATCCTCTTTGATTATCCTAACTCTTATTCTAAATCCATGTAATCACTTTTCATAATTCATGATTCCTAAACATAAATCTAAGAAGTGTTCAATCCTGAAACATTAATCTCATTGATTTAATGTTTAATTTATATTGACATGTCTAGTTTAGAGCCTCAAAGGCATCTACAGAATATAAACTTCTCGTCAGATCAATAGGCGATCAGTTCTATGGCTGATTAGTTTCTCCCGGCTGTGACTGCCACAGAACTCAGAAATGTGTGTTTGTGTGTGTGTGTTTGTGTATGTGTGTGCGTGTGTGTGTGTATGTGTGTGTGTGCGTGTGTGTGTATGTGTGTGTGTGTGCGTGCGTGTGTGTGTGTTTGTCTTTGTGCTTCACATCAGAGGAGTTTTCCTCCCAGAGGGGATACGGGGTCATTACAGTAGCAAAGAACTGACTATAAATAAAGATACAACAAATAAAATACACTACACTTCTAAGCCAGGAGCTTCCATTATAGTCCCTACGAACAGAAATAAGAGGCTAATATTATGATGTTCTGGTATTTCCAAGTGTAGGATGTGTCAGTTTCTAGCAGGAAAAAAAGGGTGGTGTTTGTATATGTCACACCTGTGAATGATGCATCAGCACTCGTGTCCGCCATCATCTGTAGAATGTTTAATAATTGTATTGCAGTGAAGAACTGTGATTTTATGGCTATCACAACACATCATAAAGGGGGGCTTTGCTGTCTTAAAATGACAGTGTGTGTGTGTGTGTGTGTGTGTGTGTGTGTGTGTGTGTGTGTGTGTGTGTGTGTGTGTGTGTGTGTGTGTGTGTGTGTGTGTGTGTGTGTGTGTGTGTGTGTGTGTGTGTGTGTGATTAAACAACTGGGTCAGGTTATTTCTCAGCCTATATTCCAGTGTCAGCTGCAGCTCCTGTCCTGAGGTGGGTGGTGGGGGGCCGTCAGATGCTGTGCTTCATTAAAGGTGAAGCTGCTGCCTCCCTCTGGTCAGTGTCAGCTAACACCATTCAAATCAGGCAGCATGCTGGTGTGTTTTTCTTTTTCTACTCTTCAGCTTCCTGCTGTGCTTGGATGTTTTGATGCAATATTTCCCAACTCTTTGATCCTCTAACTCAGTGGTTCTCAAACTTTTTCTGTCAGGCCCCCCCTTTGGAGAAAAAAACAAGTCGGGCCCCCCCAACACAAATAGTCAGGCTCAGTGGCGGTGCCAGATATTTATTTTGGGGGTGCTGTGGGGTAGCTTGACGTTTCATAGAGGGTGCTCAAACATTTAGGGTTTCCCATTAATGTACCGGGCGCTACAGTGGAATTTTCTACTGCAACACTCCCACGCAAATACACAGTGTGACAGTTACAATGAAGGCTCGAGGCATATAGGTGTAAGCAGGGATAAAGTGCTATTTTTATAGGTGGTGTGTGGACCTCACATAGGGGGGTCCGGGGGCAAGCTCCCCCGGGAAGATTTATTTTTAAATATTGAAGTTAAAAGCATCAATCTGGTGTACTTTGAGAGCAAAATGAAGAGATCTATACATCTCTCAACATAAACAGAACTGTAAACAGATTTACTTTTTCTTTATGGATGTTTTACAAATCACCCTTTTAAACTTTATTCTTTTTTTACTGGCATATAGTATTTCATACCTATTTTTCATGTATTCTCTTATTTTTTTATAACTATAATGATAAACTTGTGCCATGGAAATAATTGTTTACATTAATGGTGACCAAAACGTTTGAGACCCACTGAGATAACTTAGACTAAAGTTAACTAAATACTCAGAGAGTCCTTTAGTTCACTGAGCCTCTCAGTCTGACAGGAGAGGACTCTCCTCCACTTTGTTGTTGAAAAATATCCGTTAGCGTAGCTCGCTAGCACCAGAAGCTAACAACTACGATCTCCGGTACTGGTGCGCTCTCTCTCTCTCGCTCGCGCACACAAAATGGCTCGTTCCACACACACGCAGAGCCGAGCTTTAGTGAAACACAGAGACCCAGACGTAATAGTACTGTATCATATTATTTTCGAAACCAATAATCTTTCAAATTATGATTTATTTTTATTTTTTATAAACTGTATATATATATTTTTTAATAACCATTTTTCCTTCTGGTCTCTCGCGCCCCCCCCCCCCTGTCATGCCTCTGCACCCCCCCACTTTGGGAACCACTGCTCTAACTCATGCTGTACAGCCCCAAAAGTGATTGCAATACATGTCAGATATAAGTGTTGAGGAATGTGTGTAAAATACTTACACCCAAACCAGTTTTTATTCATATTTCTCTTGGCACTATGTTTTCTATCTACCTTTCTAACTCTTTGAGTACTAAGAGTCATCAATATATCATCATTTCCATTTAATATTAAGACCAATGCTGAACATAGACTTTATAAAGGAAAAAGGGGCATTTTTTTCACAAAAGGATTTTGGGTTACCTTCAGTGTTTATTTAAACCTAAAATCATTCTGACAATGAAAAAGCCAGGGGGTTGCTCCAATTAAGATCAGATAAGGTATACGATATACCTCATTATGCTTGGGATAGTGCTACACACAAGCTGCATGTATAGGACTTACACAGATCCTGTCAGAAAGTGACAGCCTGGAAGAAGAGTTGCTCCAACAAACAACATCAGATGTTGATGTGATTTTGCCTCTTTTGAACAAGCAGAACATTTCTCTGCGCCAGACGGTGGTTTGTTACAGGAAACACACTGATGTCTTTCAAATCAGTTTAGTGCAGGATCTCAGGAGTGTGAAGACATGATTCAGACTTTAATTGGATTGATTGGACAGATGCACAAGTTGCAAAGTTGTCTAAAAATGTCTCACGCTTCATCTTTTTGTACAAGAACTATACCAAGATTGAAATAATGTCCAGCTTCCCAATAACTTTGGAAACATACTAGTGATCTTCTCATCAAACTCTCAGCATATTTCTCAAAAATATTGACCTATTGCTGTAAGACTATAACAGAGTGTAGTTAACCTATTACAGCTGAATAATTAGGACATCTTCTCAAAGGCTAATCAACATGAATTTGCTCCGCATTGTATGCAGTTGTCAGTTAGAATTAATATAACTAAGATGTTAAATCCACATGTTTGTTGTGGTTGTTTTTAATGTGCTAGAGTCTTGGGTATACTTAGGGATTTGTCTGTTTTCTGTGTTCTTTGAACCATCTATCACAATGGATATATTGTATTTTTACTGCATTTACAAGTAAAATACAAATAAATAACCTGAACCTGACCTGAATATTACATTACATTACATTGCATTTAGCTGACGCTTTTATCCAAAGCGACTTACAATAAGTACATTCGACCAGGAAGACACAACCTTGAAGAAAACAGAATCATATAAGTACATCAGGTTTCATAGAGCCAAACATTTCAAGTGCTACTCAACTGGCTATA